CAGGTAAACTGATTAGTCAGTTCAGGTTCAACGGATTTTGCTCATTTTTGGTATGTGAATGAATAAGGGCTAGGGGTTTTGATATTTAAAAAAAAATTATGCAAATTAGGTAGGGTTTGGCAATTATATAGCACACAAACAGTCTGTGGTGTCACACTCGTCTGGTTCGTTTTACAAGATTCATTGATAATATCTTTAATGCAAAATTGGTATTTCCTCTCCACTCTGCCGATAAAACGTCTATATTAGAGTAAAGATTTACAAACCATGTCGGAACGCAGCATAACCTATTTATTTCAAGCGCCATTGCTACAAAGCGGGTATAGCGCCATCTACGGTCACAAATTGTGATTTATTTTGCTTTATAAATTATTATTGCGATATACAGATGGCAATCGTTTCTATAATGTACGTCGCTGGTTGCTCAATTAAAACTGACTTCTTCTTACTCACTCATTTGTGTCCTTTTTTGTGGTGAGCTACAGTGTCATTGACACTTTCATTTGAATTAAATTTTAATTAGGATTAGGGTTAGGGTCACAATGCACCATAAAAGTTTTATTAAAACAGGAGATTCAGGCACGTGATATGTATCAACCAATGGGATTTGGGAGGTATACAGGCCCTAGCTGCGAGTTCCAGTCATAGATGCGGCCATTACTCCACGACGTGTTGTTATTGATTGTCATAGTGATGACCCCCACCTCACGCTGCCTGGAGTAAATTCCGTAGTAATGACGTAATGAGTCAGCGCCACCAGCGGTGACCGGAAGCAACACACTGGCCACAAAACGAGAAACAGTACTGACTGATCTGGAGTCGGTTTTTGGCGAAAATACCAGATTTTCACCGCTTATTATCTCAGCGTAGGGGCATCGTAGGGACATGCGGTTTGTTTTATATTAACAAGGTAGGACAGCTGATCAATAATACTACAATAATCGTCAAAATAAAACGGGGAGAGTTTATTAATTTGACTAATACTGCAACATGGTTTCAGCATTTCACCGTTGTACGCTCTCCTTCTTTATACGCTCTTGAATTTATCATATAATTTCACCTCTGTCAGTTTGTGTATATATACTATGGCAGAACATTGAATTCAGACCTGATGACTTCATATCACTTCATGTTCTCTTTTAAAGCTAATGCATGAAGATTTTCAAGCAATTTGTAACAGTACCAAATCTGCTTTTGTTTCAGTTCACCTTATCTTGCTTAGAGGCTGTAGCTCTAGCCATCTGCAGTCATTTGGTTGAGCCACCTCGCCATTTACCAGATCTCTTTCCACTTCTAATAGCAGTGTATTCATGTATACACTTTCTTGCATTCTGTGGGTATTTTCACCTAGTGCAATTTTCATGTCTGTGCATGGAACGAGCAACAAGTGAAACGATTAATAAAAAAAAGAAGAAATGATGATTTTTGCAATGATTCTGAGTTACTTATGTACATATAGCTATGACTTATGTATATCTGTCCATATTCATGTGCATATATATATATATATTGGGCCGTCATATGACTAATTTTAGCTGTGTAGAGGTTTCGTTTTAACACATTGCAATGGTCAACTCAAGAAAACCTATAATTTATAAATTCTAATAAGAATGTAGCATTGTTTATTTATTGAACCAGTCACATATCAAGTTCAAAAAGGAATAGGAGAAAAGGGTGAAAAGGTAGAATATTATTTATTTGATTTAAATTCAGAGTTTCTAATAGCATGAATAGTTTTCTGACTGTATACTACTATACGTGATACTTCAGACATATATCTGAGGTATTACATGAACGACTTTAGCAGAGAGGAGTTTTTTATGATGGTCATCACTACATTAATTATCCTCAATGTATCTCTGTTATTATTTATGAATAAATATATTATGTTAATATTTTATTTAAAATATATTTTGGCTTAGGTATTTTGTTTTTGGCATGTGTTATTCTCATAGAGAAATATGGAAACATTAGTCTAAATAGCATATTATTTTTTTGGTTATCCATCATATAACTACTTTTTACTTGTCAAACTTAATTTATCGTGTAAAATTAGCACTAGGTGGCGCTGCGATTAAAAGCGAATGTCTATGCTCACATGCGGCGTAACATAACTTCCGTCAATGAAAATGTCTTCGCGTACGAAGAACAGTATTTTGGATCGGCCGCTTGCAAAGACAAAAGTAGATGTAAGCATAACGGTTGTATTTGTTATGTTGTAGGCATCCACCATACCGTGTTTTCACTGTGTCAATCAAGAAACTTGATAGTATACCAAATTGTAGATTGCTGCTTCAAGTTCATTATCCGCTGACCAGTGTTGATTCAATGATTGTTGCTTAGCCACACTTAGCTGGCAGTCAATGTACGCGGGCTATAGTACTAGAGCTAAGCCACGTACACTTAACCCGACCAGGCTGTGTGACTAACGTCAATATACAGCCTGACATCCATCCATTGGAAAATCTTGTACCTCTACAAAAACTCCGAACAATTACGTATATTTCAAATAAAATAATCATCTAAGCATTTCTGCCTTGTTTTGTATTAACTTAAGTACCATAACCTTCACCTTATAAGTTATAGTATTCCAGCGTTGTTATTAAAACTAATACCTCAGTTCGCTGTGCACAGTATAAATTTCAAGAGCCGAACCGAAATTTCAACCAACCGCCAATCGCCATGTTTCCACTGCGCATGCTTTTGGATCGGAACGCAGAAAACTCGAAACGACATAACATAGCGTTGCAACTCGCGTTGGCGCGAGCATAAATATACTCGTATATATATATAAATATTAAAACATTGAAAACCAGGAAACATCAATCTACAACAACTTAATAATTATCATTGCGAAGATATGTACTTGCCTTGTGTTTAGGCCTACACACTGTGAAAATCAGGTTCATCGCCAGGGATGAGATTTTTCCGCGGATCCGCGGAAATCCGCGGATTTGACAGTCCCAGGGGTCGATTTTGTGAAACGTCTAAATGCGTTGAGAAAATCGGGGGGGGGGGGTAACAATGTAAACATTTAAATTATATACCCTCAACAGCACCTGACTGTAGAGTGTAGACAGTAGACTGACAGAGAAGTATACATGCAGTGTATCTGTTTTTGTGTACCAGAAAAGAAAATCCTCGTTCACAGGCTGCAGTAGAGGGGCAGAAATTTGAGGTAGCTGATCACGTAACGACCATGCCTGGCCTGGGGGCCGGGTTTACATGTTGCTGTGTGCATGTTGTCTGCATAACTATGCACTGATTGGTCCATTCGCATTGTGTTTTTTTCATTTAAATCTTGTCGCAGCAAGGCAGCTTATGTCTGAGTAAAACAATGCAAGCGACGGTTGAAAACAGAAAAATATTATTATGTCTAGACATTTAATAAAAAAACTTGACCTATTTTCAGCCCCCTGATTTCCTATTCATAGTTTGTTTGTTCCTTTTGACAACTTGAAAAAGTGATTCAAGAGTCTCCTATAATGTGTTCAGAATAGCTTAGAATAGTGAGTATTGGCTCGTAAACTTCTCCTCCCACAGGCCTCACGGCGCTTCGCATCCACAATATTCACTATCACTTTTGCCTTTTGCGGGTTAGGAAAGTCGCTTCGCAAGAGTTCAGTTTTTTCTGCAATAACTTTATGAATGAACGACGTTTCTGTTATCATCGGTGACTTTCGGGGGCATCGCCTATGCACTTATCTCCCATTATCTTTCCTAGCACGGCTAATGCCCGTCATGATGGAGCCGGCAATGTTTTCTAAATTAAGTCTACAACGCAGCTCAGTTACTATATGGTGTAGTAAGAGTACCAAATTTGGGCATGTGACATCAATTATCAACGCTCCAAGCGGCGACGGAAACCGATAGCTAGACCCGCAAAAGGCGAGAGTGATAGTGAATATTGTGGATGCGAGGCGCCGTGAGGCCTGTGGGAGGGGAAGTTTACGAGCCAATATCTCAGCCTAGGAGTATCGTATTGACAAGCGGTTGGTCTTGTTTTAGAGAGCAAAGAATTCTGCTTAATGCAATACCATAAAATTATTCTAGACTCGCAGGTAAAGTAAAATAATATTGCCGTAAATTAGCACTATTTTTCCGTTTTTCCGTTGTACACTCTAGGTATTATTAGCTCTTGATAGTATTTGTAATGCTTTGTAATGTAGTGTCTGAATATTCTTTTAGATCAACTTGAGCACATTCGGATTGCTTTTTTCTGAGATGGTACAGTATAGCCAAAATAGAGTTTATACTGTGCCAGAGCTGCAGCAGAGGTATGCTATACCTTTATACAGGTTTCCTTTTACAATTGATTCACTTTTGGTATAGCGTTTTCAATGTTTATCTTTAAAATTAATATTCGAATTTTTTTATGCACAAAAACTTGATGATATATTAACTATATTTACTCTTATTACTCTTGTAACTGTTTGTAATAGAACCAAGCATATTCTATTGCACATGTAATTATAGTTGTTGCTCATTCTAACATGCTACATAAATCACCTATTAGTGCTGACACAAGTTAACATAAACCAGTGAAATGATGTTTAATTGTTTTAGACTCGGGGATTTGGGAAGACATGTTGGGTTTCGCATTCTCGACTTGATGTTTGTGAGGGAGAGGAACTACAAGAGAGAAGTAAAGCTACTTAACATGCTGCTCTTCATCAAGTCAAGCCTATGGAAGGTAAACCACCAAACATGGCTACACAGAGAAATGCTTAACAGCTATCTGTTAAAAGTAAAGCTTGTTTCTTGTAGTTTGTCATCATCATCATTGTTATTGTTGTTGTTTTTGTTATAGTTATTAATTACATGTTGGTTGAGTGGCTATGATTATTTATATTTATATTCCAGACACTTTTTGGGAAGGAAGCTGATAAGTTGGAGCATGCCAATGATGACGAGAAAACCTGTATCCTTTCAAATTCCTGAGAGTTTAGTTTAGTTTTGTCAGCAGTCGGTTTTGTTTTTCAATTTGTATTATATATTTTGTTAAAATTATCATTCCCACACTCCTGCAGGCTTGAGATTTTAGGCTGAACTACGTAGTATAGTGACTATGTGCATTGATTAAGTTTGGGGAAATTTATGTAGTAATTAGTCATAGAACGAAGAAAATATTTATTGAAAATAAAAAGTATTATACTGAAATACTACTTAGTGGTAAAATGATAATTAGGTGCCAAACTACTCTCATTTTTTTGCCAAGTGATTTTCCTTATTACTTGCGCAGACTACATAATAGAGAAGGAGTCTCTGGTCAACAAATATATATCAGTGCCAAAGGACAAAGGTATGTATGTGCACATTTACGGGAATGAATACTATAATATATCATCATGTGTTTAGTGTCATCCCTATCTTTATCATCATCCTGTGCTAGTGATATGAATAGGTCATTGAAGATTGACTCCCAGTGTCTGTCTGCTGCTCTACACTAATCCATGGGCTCCATGGGCACAAACCAAGTATCACAAACAAACTCATCTCTGTTGCTGCTAAAATTCAGGATAGACCAAGAGAGTTTATAACCCCTACAATGAGCCGATCAACCTGGTGTTGAATTAATTCAAAAAAAGAGTAAATCAGTTTTTGAGCAGGCTCTAATCACTTTTGTAATTAAAAGTTCTTATACTCACTAGCCCATCAACATAAACAATGCAGGCTATGCATGAGGTAATAACGTTGAACATTCATGGTTTCTGTCTGATCATCTGTCTTTGTTCTGTTTTGGCAGGAAGTTTGAATTGTGCAGCATTCACAGCTGGTATTGTGGAAGCAGTGCTGGAAGGATGCAACTTTGTAAGCTATGAAATAACTTACTATTTGGTGAAATGGATATTTCTAAAATTACATTAAAGCAATTACTAACAAATAACAATACTATATAGGTCTGCAAACTCTTCCAAAACTGTTTTTCAACACCATTTGGTGCACTTTGAATTATTGTGTCCACCAAAAACCAAAATTCAAAATACCATAATTGTATTTTTTTAATTGCTAGTATTATGTAATAAGTCAATTCTAAAAGCTGATGAATTTTGGAAAAAATTGTAATGTAACTATGTAGAATAGTATATTTAAAATTTATGGATTTCTGTTTTTTGTTTGTAGCCAGCAAAGGTGACTGCACACTGGCACAAAGGTACCACACTTATGATTAAGTTTGAGGAATCTGTTATTGTGAGAGACAAGACATTAGAAGGTAGATAGCATATATGAATTCATCTTCTACCTGCCTATTTTGTCATCATCTTTATTCAAAGCTTTGGTTCTAGTTTGTTAAAGCCGCACAATGCGCATCCAAACGCTAATTTCTCCAGTACTAGACTAGCAAATACTTCGTGTCATGCATAATCATACTACCTTATGACAAAATAAACTCTAGTTGCTCCCATTTTACTGCGCGTTTGCTTAAAACCCACAAGAAAGAGGTGAGAAAACTGGCCAAACAATATAGCCTCGAAGTGGTGACGTGACGTCACATGTTTTTATCTTTGCTACACCCGTACCGCTGTACCGCAGCACCGCTGCACGGTTGCTTGGGGATTGGGGGAACTGTCAACAACATCGGAGAATTTGAACAACAACCTTTTTCAAATACCTTTTATAAGACAACGCGCAGTGAAATGGGAGGAACTAGAGTTTATTTTGTCATAAGGTAGTGTGATTATGCATGCCACGAAGTATTTGCTAGTCTAGTACTGGAGAAATTAGCGTTTGGATGAGCATTGTGAGCCTTTAAGTGATTATCAGTTTTAGCAGTCAAGTAAGAATGGGAATTGTAGCATAATATAAACAGATGGTTAATGTCGTCGTGACGTTTTACAGTGTTATTCATATATATTTAAAGATGTTTTCTCTGAAATCATGTGACCAGCCATTTAGGTTTTCTATAGAGTAAGTGTTGGCATTAATTTGGACTTTTCCAAGTACCGATCTGCTTTCAAGGCATGTGTACGGTGTAGTATAAACAGCTGGTGTAGTATTGGTATGGGTACATTTATGTTATTATTTGTCCCAATTGTTGTGCAAAACATTGTGGAGTGTTCATGTCACAAGAATGACAACCTGCCTCATTTCTAAAAGATATTTATCTGGAAACATTGATTGCATAGTGTGAATCCTGTTCATTATTTACTATAAGGTTTATGTTAATTTAAGTTACTGGGGATCACAAGGAAACATTTTTGTGTGCTATTTTCCTCCATATTCAAATGTTAGTAGTGGTATATTTCATGAAAATATTGTATGGGCTTTTGTAAGTATAACAGTTGACCGAGTTGTAAATATTATTGTGCAATATAAACATGCACCATATATAAAATAAATACACCACAGTAAAACCAGTTTTAAAACTATTTGAATGTAATTTTATTTCTCATAATATTGTTACAAAAAAAACACAAATACAAAAATGCATTTTGGCAATCATTTCATTAGACCAATATGCTAGAAATTAGTATAAACTCAGAAACTCGTAAATGTACATCATGATTCATTCATGGTCATCTACACAACATACAAACTGGATTTTAACCCGATTTAACTTCACATCACTATAGTGTAGAATACATAAATATATAGACAACACATCATTAAACAGTAACTAAGCGACATTTAAACCACTCCAAGTATTTGCAGGATCGTAATTTGGCAATCAGTGACCCTTAACTTTGAAAGTGTACAAAATGAACTGCTGAATGGGATTTTGCGGATACGAGACATATTTATTTATATATATATTTATTTGCATGTCGAAAACCGCACATTGACCCCTTCGCTAACACATGCGTGCGCACACACCAGTTTGTAGGCATGTGATGATTGGTAACGACCCCTGTCATAGGAGGTACAGTGTCTTAGCCTTGAGAATTAAGATACCGATCACAGAGTGTATAGTAGCAACAGCTTTCCTTCGCAGATAAGCTGATATATGACATAATATTGACAAAATTTTATACAAGAATAATGGCGGTGGTGACGACACAACCGGTGTTAAGTTAGCGGATGCATCGCCTCATCATGCTAGTGGAGCGGCTTCCCTCTGCAACCTTCTCCTTCTTCTTCTGGGCGTCAGGCATGAAGCAGTTCCACAGACGCAAAGTCTCGTCTGCTGCCGCGGAAACTACGGTGCTGCCGTCTGGTGACATGGCCATATGTAGCACACGAGCCGTGTGACCTGAGATGAGAGAGATCGTGTAAGAGCAGAGGTCACGTTTACATAGTCGGGAACTGTATTTTGGGATTTCGTTGTTTCGTTCTTGTCTGTAACGTCCAATTTTCTAGACGATTCTCGTGACACTTATTTTTATATAATATCTTATTGACATGATATCAGTAGTGTATAATATAGAGAATATATCTCTATATTATACACTCCTGGTGATATGATATCTGAGATTTTAAGTCTCCCTTTGCAATTGTTAAGTAGAATTCGAACCATATTGTAGTGACAAGTCAAATTTGTTGGTTCTTACCAACAAGCTCAGCAACCTTGTTCATCTGAGGGTATTTCCAGATGGCTAGTTGATTCTGAGCGAAACCGTGTCCAGTGATTAATTCTTTGTATTCCTCTGACCACAGAATCGAACACACCTGTACAGAATTTAACACCAAGCGTGTACAGTAGGATTTACGTAACTTAGAACACTCAAGCATTATTATTTTCACCAATATAAGCACCGATCTGAATTTCAAAGTAGATTTGTGTACATATGTCAACATCAGTATCACGTGATATCCATCATATTCCACAAGATGCCATTGACTGTTGCCCTGTCTCTAGACTATGTTGCATTTGTCCACATGTCGAGAAACGGTACCCGTCTAGAACAATTTACGTCACGTAAACAGATGCACTTGTAATTGTGGCAACATTTCCAGATTTCACTTTTGTGAATCTCAGAAAAGCAGGCACAAGTTTGTTGTTTATTTTCTGTTTTGTAGCCTATAACACCACAAACTCGTAAATTGTATGCTAGTGCATGCGTGTGTGCGTGCGTGCGTGTGTGTGTGTGCACAAGCGAGCTTGAGGTATGTAAGCCTGTGTCGGTATGTACACGTACCTGAGACTTTGTGTCAACGGAGCTCACACATGCGCCAGTGTTAACGTTCCAGAAGCGTATGTGCCGATCAGCCGTACCACCTCCACTAGCAAGAAGGCTAGGTTGCCATGGACACCAAGCCAAAGCCTGAAATAGAATAGATGCATTTCACTTGATAAATACAGAAAAAAAAGCACCAAAAAGTTTATGTGCATGTTTGCAATGCAGCACATGAACTATAAGAAATCATAAAGATGTATGTCTCTTAGAATTCATCTGCATAATGAAATAATTCAATACTGCCTTCGTTTGCTGCTGTCTGTAGCAGTAGAGACACAATAATGTACAGTGCTTATAACAGCATGTCTACCTTCACTGCTGCCTGGTGTACAGTGCTTATAACAGCATGCCTACCTTCACTGCTGCCTGTTGTACAGTGCTTATAACAGTATGCCTACCTTCACTGCTGCCTGCTGTACAGTGCTTATAACAGCATGCCTACCTTCACAGCTGCCTGCTGTACAGTGCTTAAAACAGCATGCCTACTGTACAGTGCTTATAACAGCATGTCTACCTTCATGGCTACCTGTTGTACAGTGCTTATAACAGCATGCCTACCTTCACAGCTACCTGTTGTACAGTGCTTATAACAGCATGCCTACCTTTACTGCTGCCTGGTGTACAGTGCTTATAACAGCATGCCTACCTTCACAGCTGCCTGCTGTACAGTGCTTAAAACAGCATGCCTACTGTACAGTGCTTACAACAGCATGCCTACCTTCATGGCTACCTGTACAGTGCTTATAACAGCATGCCTACTGTACAGTGCTTATAACAGCATGCCTACCTTCATGGCTGCCTGCTGTACAGTGCTTATAACAGCATGCCTACCTTCACAGCTGCCTGCTGTACAGTGCTTAAAACAGCATGCCTACTGTACAGTGCTTATAACAGCATGCCTACTGTACAGTGCTTATAACAGCATGCCTACTGTACAGTGCTTATAACAGCATGCCTACCTTCACTGCTGCCTGGTGTTGTGTGAAGGTATAGAGCGGCTCGGCCGTGCGGCCGCTCTGCGACGACGTCGCGCCGTCCCACACGTTGAGCAGGTTGTCGTTTCCGCCGCTGGCGAGGTGGCGACCGTCCGGCGACCAGCGCAGGCCGCACACCTCCTGGGTGTGGCCGGCGAGCGTCGCGATGTGGTGCTGCGGCAGCCGCACGTCGTGGTGGTGCACGGCGCCCGAGCGCGAGCCGCTCGATAGTACGTAGGAGTTCCAGGAGAGGGCGCCGACGCGCGCCGCGTGGCCTCCCATCACACGCAGACGCTTCCTCGTGTCAACGTCCCACAACTGAGAACACAGGAGCAGATATATATATACATAGAGAGAGAGAGAGAGATAGATATATCAGTATATAGATAGATAGATAGACATGTAGATAGATATTGTGTGTGTGTGTGCGTGCGTGTGTTTGTGAGAGAGAGAGAGAGAGAGAGAGAGAGAGAGAGAGAGAGAGAGAGAGAGAGAGAGAGAGAGAGAGAGAGAGAGAGAGAGTAGAGAGAGAGAGACGAGAGAGAGAGTTAGACAGGATACGAGGAGTTAGGTACCGAAGTAGACCGGATAAGGGTGTGACAACAATAAAACAAGGAAGAATCGTATTGTACTAGCCTTATAATCCTACGATTTACTCGCGTAACTCAATCAACTTGAGCTGGCAATCGGACACAGTACATCCGCCATCATCGTACAAATCGTTCCTCGTAGACACCGCGCCATCGAAGATACAACCTAAAACATACGACCACGATTCTCCTTGCTTTGGCACAATAATCGCACCGCATAGCGGCGCTTATTCAAACAACAAGGCAGTTTACTGAACCACAGCTGTTCCACGCTTGCGCATCACGGCGAGGCGGCGTGGCTCGCAGGAGATTCAATCCGATCTGCTGGGCGATGCGGATGCTGTGCATGCGTGGTATGGGGCATCGCCAGCGTATTGGCGGCATAAGGCATACTGTAGCTGTATACGCCGGTCAAAGTCGTATCTCGCGAGGTGTTGCGTTGATGCCTAATCCCCTGCGAGGCCAACAGCGCCTCGCTTCGTGAGTCGCAAGCCTGTGGACAAGGTGTTGTAGCTGCCTCTTTTGTTTGAATTTAAGGCGCCGCTATGCGGTTGGATTATTGGCAAGAAAAGGCGAATGTGTCGTATGTTTTTAGGTTGTATCTTCGGATTGCGCGTGTCTATCGACAGGAAACGATTGTGGTCGATGTGATGGGCGAATGTACTGTGTCCGATTTGGCTCAGTTGGCATGAGTCGCGTAGTATCCGTAGGTTTATAGGCTAGTAAATTGCGGACTTTCCTTGTTTTTTGTTGTCACATCCTCCCGTTTATCTATCCTTGGTAGGTATTCGATATGTGCAAGTAGTTGTACGACAGCATTTTGTGGGCCACTAATCTGAATATTGCAGTGAGCATTTTTTTTTTTTTTTTTAAAAAACAATTTATGTCATGGAGGCAGCTTGTTTAGGTTACATTTACGGTGCCAGTGCAAAAGGGAACTTATGTGAAGTTTAGTCTCCAAGTGGTTTATAATAAAGTATAATTAATGTTTATTAAATAAAAGACCTAAAGTCCTTGTAGCTGACATTTCAATATTATAGAGAAAGGGGGTCATGTATCGCATCATTTTTTCTCACATGGTAATATTTCAATGTAGATCTAAATCTACTGGACTGGAGTGCCACTGGCTATTTAGCTGTTGCGTTGGGTGGCGCCATCTACTTGTGGAATGCCAGCAGTGGTGAGATACAGCAGCTGATGGAGATGGAGGGTTCGGAGGATTACGTTACCTGTGTGTCGTGGGTAAAGGAAGGCAACTACCTGGCCGTCGGAACCAGCAACACAGACGTGCAGGTATAGACATGCAACCCGTTTGACAATGTTGGTAACTGGATTGTACATTGCGATTATAACCTCTCGCTCTCTCGCTCTCTCGCGCTCTCTCTCTCTCCTCTTCTCTCTCTCTCTCTCTCTCTCTCTCTCTCTCGCTTCTCTCTCTCTCTTCTCTCCTCTCTCTCTCTTCTCTCTCTCTCTCTCTCTCTCTCTCTTCTCTCTCGTCTTCTTTCCCATTCTTTTGTTCTCCTCTCTCTCGACTCGCTCGCTCGCACGCCTCGCCGCACGCAGCGCACGCACGCCGCACGCACGCAGCGCACGCACGCACGCACACACAATATCTATTCATGTCTATCTTATTATCATATTACTGAGTTATCTATCTCTCTCTCTCTCTCTCTCTATGTTATATTATCTTATATATATATATATTGTCTGTGTTCTCAGCTGTGTGGACGTTGGACACGAGGAACGTCTGCAGTGTGATGGGAGGCCACGCGAGACGTGTCGGCGCCCTTCTCCTGGAACTCCAGCGTATAGCGAGCGAGCTCGCGTCGGGCGCCGTGCCACCACCACGATGTGCGGCTGACGCCAGCAACCACATCGCGACGCTCGGCCGCCACACGAGCGTGTGCGGCCTGCGCTGGCCGTCGACGGACGCGTCGCACCTCGCCAGCGACCCAGGAAACGACAACCTGTCAACGTTGTGCGGACGGCGCGACGTCGTCGCCAGAGCGCGCACGGCCGAGCCGTCTTATACCTTCACACCACCAGGCAGCATGTCAAGGTGAGGCATGCTGCTTATAAGCTGTCGCACGCAGGCAGCTGTGAAGGTGCGCATGCTTTTAAGCATGGCTACAGCAAGAGCGTGAATGTACAGGATTGTGTTATAAGCATGTACCAGGCAGCATGTGAAGTAGGCTGCTGTTATAGACTGTACAGCAAGCAGCAGTGAAGTTTAGGCATGCTGTTATAAGCACTGCTACACAGGCAGCGTGAAGGTAGCATGGCTGTTATAGCCACTGTACAAACAGGCAGCAGTGAAGGTAGGCATGCTGTTTAGCACTGTACATAGGTAGCATGAATGGTACGCATGCTGTATATAAGCACTGTACAACATGGCAGCAGTTTAGGTAGGCATGCTGTTACAGCATCTACCAGTTCTTCGACGTTATGGCGGTGGGACGTGGTCCGGACACCAAATCTCTCTCGGTCCAGTAATTTAACAAGTTAATGGACCGTCGGTCCACCCGTTTTTTTCGTCATCTAGTTACAGTATTTTTAAATAATTTATCAAAGTATTTATTGGAGATCCTTACTGTTCAGACTGACGAAAACCGCGCTTAGCATTATCAAACGCACACCTCTTCATGTTTGTTTTTCATTATCAACTTTAACTCGAAGGTTAACGCAAACGGTTGTTAACATCCGGACATTGCCTTTGAAGTCGCGTATCAATGTTTTACGACAGTTGTACGCTTATACCACAGCAGTCTTTTAACATCTTTATCCGCTCTATTCTATTTTCACCGGCGAAGCTGGACGTATTCCTTGACTCTGGCTAATTCTTCCGTTACAGCTTAACCGTAAACACACACCATCCTTCAACCGTCGTACTCAAAGGCCTATGCCTGCGTTGACTGCTTTGCCCAAACCCCAAACCAAAATCCAATAACCAAACCGTCCGGCCTATCATACGCGAGCCATTACATGATGAACTGATACTGTTACTGTATTCAATTTGCTACGCCGTATCGGACTGTGTGATGAATGATGCACGCTGACAATGAAAATTAAAAAGCCCTGCTTTAAGATCTTTGTGAATTTTATTGCAAAATGTATGTTTCTTGAAATGACTGAAATACCTTCCAATTGACAAATGCACATAGTGATTGAATGATGTGATGATGTATAAATACCTCGTATCTAGTTTTAATAGTCTGCTTTGAAATTTAGTGTGTTCCTTTTTGACTAATGCTAATGTGTGATGTCATGTTATCCAGTCATATGTTCAAGAACGATATTTTGTGATCTGGTGAAAAAAATCGCCTAAAAATGTCAAATAATGGTACAATGCCGAGTATTTTATCCAAAATGCTTCGGAATGGGAATTTCATGAGTCTAGATTTCAATTTTTTCGTGTGGGGGCCATGCCACCGACCCCCTAGTTTGCCTCGTGACCTGCAGGCACTCGGATTGCAAATACACTCCCACCTCGGCGGAGCCTAGGGTAGTTGATTTTTTCACTCCGCCTGCCTTTTTACAAACACAAGGACTGGTAACACTTTTGTTATTTGTTCATCGCTAACCATAGTCTTATGGTCTTATTCTGTTATCTGCGTGCTGTAGAATGGTATATGATGAATATTTGATGGTTATTAATTCCCTACTGTTATCATGTAGCTGTGTAGAGCCGTATGTGATGTTTCATATTGATGGGTATCCTTACTGTTATCATAGCAGTGTGTAGGATTAGGTATGTGTGATACATGCTCACTGCGGACTAACGAGTTTGTGGTTCTATTTTGGCCAGCTTTTATTGGTAGTGATGTGTAGAGGCATGTGATGCTATACTATGATAGGTTTACTCTGTTATCATAGCAGTGTGTGAGGTTGTATTATAGGTAAATACAAAATGATTTACTGTTTTGGTCTTTATTGTCAAATGTCAAATTATTGCGTCCAGTTATGAATTCTTGTCGGTCCGTATTTTGCTGGCTTGGTGGACGATGGTCCAGTGTTAGAATTTCATTCTGTGAAGACTGTCATACAGCAGAGCGGCAGTGAGCGGTAGGCATGCTGTTCTAAGCCTGTAAAAACAGGGCAGCAGTGAAGGTAGGCATGCTGTCTATAAGCACTGATACACAGGTAGCAGACGGTAGGCATGCTGTTATAGCACTGTCAACAGGAGCAGTGAAGGTAGGCTGCTGTTACACGCACTCCTACACAGGCGGCATGAGGTTAGAATGCTGTTATAAGCACTGTACATTTATTGGTTTCTCTCTGCTTACAGCGCGCAAACGAAGGCAATGTATTGAATTATTTTCATTATGCAGATGGATTCTAGAGCAATATCTTATGTTTCTTATAGTTCATTGTGCTGATTGCACATGGCAATAACTTTTTGCGTGCTTTTTTTTCTGTATTTATCAGTGAATGCATCTATTCTATCAGGCTTTGGCTTGGTTGTTCCTATGGCAACCTAGCCTTCTTGCTATGGTCGGAGTGGTACGCTGATCGGCACATACGCTTCCTGCGAAACGTTACCTGGCGCATGGGTGAGCTCCGTTGACGCAATGTTCAGGATACGCTGTACATACGACACAGGCTTACTACTCGCTCGTTGTGCACACACACACACCACGCACGACGCACCAGCATGCACTAGTCTACATTTACGAGGTTTTGTGGTGTTATAGGCTTACAAACAGAAATACAAAACTTGTGCCTGCTTTCTGGAGATTCCAAAAGTGAAATCTGGCAATGTTGCCACAATTTACAAATGCATTGTTTACGTGACGTAAATTGTTCTAGAAGGGTACGGTTTCTCGACTGTGGACCAATGCACACATAGTCTAAGACAGGGCACAGTCATGGCGATTTGTGGAATTTATGATGGCATATCACGTTGATATGATGTTGAATATGTTACAACATCTCTTTGAAATTTCGATTCGGTGATTCATATGATTTGGTGAAAATATATATTGCTTCAGGTGTTCTAGAACGTTAAATACCTACTGTACACGATTGCGTGTTAACTCTGTACGGTGTGTTCGATTTGTGGTCAGAGGATTACAAGAATTATCACTGGACCACGGTTTTTCGCCTCAGAATATAGACATCTGGAAATCCCTCGGGTGAACAGGTTGCTGAGCTTAGTGGTAAGAGACAACAGATTTGATTGTCACTACCATTGGTTCGATTCTACTTAACAATTGCAAAGGGGCTTTAATCTCAGATATGCATATCAAGGGTGTATATATAGAGATATCTTTCCAATATATTATACACTACTGATATGCATGTCATAAGTTTTATATAAATAAGTGGTCACGAGATCGTTCTAGAATTGGACGTTCCAGACAAGAACGAACACGAATCCCAAATACAGTTTCCGCTATTAACGTGACTCTGACTCTTAACGAGCTCTGCTCAACTCAGGTCACAGGCTTGCGTGTGCTACTATGGCCATTGTCCGACCAGCCAAGCACCGTAGTTTCCGCCGGCAGCGATCGATGTACTTTGCGTCTGTGGAACTGCTTCATGCCTGACGCCGAGAAAGGAAGAAGGTTGCAGAGGGGAAGCGCGCACTGCATGATGGGCGCTGCATTCGGTAACTTACACCGGTTGTGTCCGTCACCACGCCATTCTTCTTGTCTAAATTTTGTCAATTTATGTCATATATCAGCTTATCCTGCGATAGGAGCTGTTTGCTACTATTACGATCTGTGATCGGTATCTTATTGCTCAAGGGCTAGGACATGTACTCGCTATGACAGGGTCGTTACGAATTCATCACATGACCTTACAACTTGGTGGTGCGCACGCTATTGGTGTTAGGCGAAGGGTCAATGTGCGGTTTTTCGAATTTGCAATAATCTATATTCTATAAATATGTTCGTTCCAAATCCATCAGCCAGTTCATTTTCCGGCCTTTCAGGTTTAAGGCGTCAGCTGATTGGCAAATTAGCTCCTGCAAATACTTGGTCATGTGGTTTAAATGTCGCTTAGTTACTTGGTTAATGATGTGTGTTCTATTATTTATGTTTCTACTTGTGATGTGAAGTTCTTTATAATCGCTGGTTAAATCAGTTTGTATGTTGTGTAGATGACATGAATGATCATGATGTACATTTACGAGTTTCTGAGGTTTTATATATTTCTGCATATTCGGTCTATGAATGATTGCAAAAATGCATTCTTTGTATTTGTGTTTTTTTTTGTATACTATTATGAGAAATAAATTATTCAATAGTTTTTAAACTGGTTTTACTTGTGGTGATTTCTTTTGTATATGGTGCATGTTTTATTGCACAAGAATTTTTACGAACTCTGCGTCAACTGTATATACTTACAAAAGCCCATACATATTTAATGAATATACCACTATAAATTTGACTATGGATGGAAATGGCACAAAAAATGTTTCCTTGTGCATTCCCAGTAATTAATATTACATAAACCTTATAGTAAATATGACTGTGTTCACACTATGCAATCAATGTTTCCGGTAATATCTTTTGCAATGAGGCAGCTCCGTTGTCATCTTTGTGACATGCACACTCCACACGCGTTTGCAACAATGTGGGAAAACTAATAACATAATGTACCATCACCCATATACACAGCTGTTTATATCCGTACAATTGCCTTGAGCGCATCGGTACTTGAACGTCATTACTGCAAACTTACTTCTATGAACCTAAATGTCTTGGTACATGATTTCAGGAAAAATTTTAATATATATGATAACATCGG